ACCATTTTTGTTTCTGTCCCCTGGACTTTCTCCAATTTGTCTACCTCTTTCCCAAAGTGTGGTGTCCAGAACTGGACACAGTGTTCCAGTGGCGGCCTTATCAGTTCTGAGAGAGTGGAAGAATTATTTCCTGTATCTTGCTTACAACACTCCTGCTAATACATCTCAGAATGAATTCTCTTTTTTGCCACAGTATTACATTACATTGTTGACACATATTTAGCTTGTGATCCACTATAGCCCCCAGAGCCTTTTCTGCAGTACTGTTAGGAATCAGGGCCTTCAGCAGAGCTAGTCTCCAGGCAGCCTCACCGCTATAGCTGGTCTGCGGCAGGCTGTGGGACTAGCCACACACCCTGACTGACTACAGAAGGCAGTAGGCTGGCACTTAAGCCAGCAGCAGCAGCAGCAGCTTGCTGGTTTCTCAACCACCACTGTGCCTGCTCCTGTGTTACCTTGTTCTTGCTGCTCCTGCCTTGCACCCAGCCTTGCCTCAGCCCTGCCCCTGCCTTGAATCCTTCCTTGGTTGCTATCCTGCTCTCTCCAGTTCCTGACCTCAGGAGCAGCGCTAGAGTGGTGGAGATATATCTGTAGTTTCTAGTGTAGGTACAGCGTCTGTGTTCTAGTCAATCCGGCTGGAATCGAACTGGTCATTGATCTACTAGTGTAGCTGCAAATATGGCAGTTGAATGGCTGGCAGCTTTCCGGTGGTCTGAGTCCCAACGTGCTGCATGTTTCCTCTGTTTCTGCTTTGTTCGCCTATTAATCACACACTCCTATTATCTCTCAAGAGACTGACCATTGCCACCATGTTTCACTTATCACATGGGGGGTAATAAGATGAGAAGAACTATGTGTAATGGGATCTATACCCAGGGTGAAACCTGGAAGCTGTTGGAACCGCTATGCCCCCTAACTATTTAGCTGGGTTGGACTCCAACACTTGCTCTGCTGGTGACACACAGCCAGCCCCTCCAGGCCCTGTTATCACCCAACAGGGCAGCAGGTGGCGCCACACACCCAACTGAGTTATCTGAGGGCTTTGCCTAAACCACTCCTGGGCCAACAATGGAGGCCTCAGCCAATTTCCCAGCTCCCCAGCCTTACACCCCCACTGGAGTATAAACCCAGAATTGAGCGGTCTTGCACTGCAGAGTAGTCTGTACGGTGCAAGCTCATTAAATTAGTCTGCTTCCCCCTCGATGTGGGGAAGATATGCACCCACCTGTGTTAACAGAACTAAGATTCGCTAACACGTCACTCAAAAACACACAGTGATTACAAGTGAGAACAAACAGATCAAAGCAGGTTACCTAAGAAACCAAACAAAATGCAATCTAAACCGTCTATACTAGATAGGATTTGAATCAGCAATATCTCACCCTGACTGATGATACAAGCAGACTTACAGATTCTTGAGGCACAAGCTGCATCTGCTTTGTAGCCTGGGTTTCCCACTCCCCTATTCAAAGTACTTTGTCTTCCAGCGTTTCTTTTAGGTGTTGAGTTGTGGGGGAGTGAAGACCAAAAGATGACACTCCCCATCTTATATAGTTTCTCCATATGGCAGGAACCCCTTTGTTTCAAGCCAGCTTCCAGCCCAGTTTGTGGTCTGGTCACATGCCCTTGCATGCCTTGCTGAGTTATAGCAGGCATTATTTATAGGCTCGGTGAAGGGTCCCCAGGTGAGGACAAGCCCTTTCCATGGTCCATTGTCTTTGTTAATGAACCATTAGCACCGTCTAGCTTCTTCATCATTGTACCTGAAAGGCTAATTGTGGGTGTTTCCAATTTCACAACATCTTTCAGTAACACACACACAGCAAAACTTCATAACTTTTTATAGAAGGACAGCACATCCTTCCAACAGGATATTAATGTTCAACAGATCAAGATGTTTAGAATGATACCTTACAAAGCATACTTTGTACAAAACATATCATAATTATATCAGCATGGTAAATATGGGGTTCTTTGGGGTGCAGAATGTCACAGAATGTTTCTAAAACGAAACTAGTCTTTTTTAAAAGAACTGTTTACAGAGATGTGTGATGTGGTGTTTACCACACACAGGTGATGAAATGGTTAATTTGGGCCTGAGAGATCAATACACACAGATGGTGGCACTAGGAGGGTAGGCCTGGCCTGTTAAAGATGAGTCCCAGATGGGAAAGGATGTGGGTGGTTTCTGTAAATGGAGGAAGCCCAGAGTAGAAAAGGACTGAAGGGAGAAAGCCTACAGGTTTCTTCCCCTTTCTCTAGGTAGTAGAGCACAGAGGAAGCTCAGGAGGGCATTTACACCCTGGTCCTGATGGAAGAGGGAAAAGGGGTGAAGGGGAATCTTGAAGTGGGCCTGAGAGAAGACCACCCCATAAGCAGAAAGCCTTGTGAGGGACTGGAGTTGAGGATCCAAAGAGGGCAAGACTTAAGGAGGGTAGTCCCCAAAAGTCAGCACTCTGCAGAAGAATGGAGAGGTTGGGGGGACTAGGGGGTGTGGACACAGGATGGTTTAAAAGTTCAAGCCTGGAAAAGGGCCTGCCGCTGCTTTCCCTGAAATCTGTGTTTTGCTTTCGAGTTGGGTTAATAGACTCCAGGGAGAAGCCTTGGGGCTGCAAGTCTGATAGAAGAGTAGAGTGGAAGAGGAGTCTGGGAGGGGAGGAAGATGGCAGATCGATGACCAGTACGGTATAGGGCACTGTCCATGTGGCACACTGAAACTCTGGAAGGAGAGGGACTCTAAAGTGACCTGGCAGGAAGGCCAAGTCATGAGAAGAGATACCACCCAGGGCATAGAAGCTGTCAGCAAGGGGTGCTAGATGGCGAGCTGGTACACCACACCCAGCCACAAGTAGTGCACGTGTCATGACTTCAACTGCAGCTAACTTTCCACCCATGTGCACAGACTGGCTTCCTGGTGCCCGCTCCAAACTCTTCCCTCCCAGTTCCTAGGGGGTTGCTACAAGCCCTAATTTAGAGGCAGAAGGCTGTTTTCTTGTTTCTCACCTCATATGTACAGAGTAGTTTGTAGATTTCAACTTCTTTCTTTTGCACATTTTTTCAGGAGACATAAATTATGCTAAAAATTGGTCTTGATATATTATATTGGTTTATTAAAGAAACAATGTTTTAAGACTCCCCATTTATGATTAGGAAGCGGGAGTATAAAACTGGAAAATGAAACTGAGTAGCATTGCCAAAATATTAATATTTATTAGTAGTACTCACTTGTCCCTTAAAAATGATTAGAAGAAGGTGTATGTTATATCTGTGATTGAGGAGAGCATCCGTATTCAGGCAGCACTTAAATACATGCTAAGCACATGCTTGAGTCCCATTGCAATCAGTGGGACATAAGTACATGCCCAAGTGCTGTCTGGAACAGGGGATCTATATACTGTCTATCACCATGTGACCATTTATAGTAGTGTTCTACTCTTGCTGCTTCATTCTTATCACATGCACACACGTATGTCTTCAACTTCTGTTCGGCTTATTTCCCTGCCACCTCTGAAAATGATAAAATATGTAGTGATTTACTGAATCCTTGACTTGACAGCTGTATAGATGCATTGCAATTGCGCAAATTAAAAGGTCAAAAGCAAAATACATTTATAATTCTTCCCCAAAGAAAAGCCATAAAATTACAATCTCGAGAACTCTGCAAAAAGACAGTTATTTTCCCCAGTTGCCCTTTTGGAAGATAATTGGTTAATTACAATTTAGATTTTTCTGACAAGTCTACAAAATTTTTTAATTTCGTGTTAAACTCTAAATAACTGACAGGAAATTGCTACATGAAATTTGGAAGAACCCAAGTTTCCTGTCACAATAGTCTCACAGCTCGTGTCAAACAATTGGACCTAGTCAAATTATAACCAATTAAATGATTTTTAAAAGTGCTAATGCAACTGTGACGCTCCCCAGGGGTACCCAGGTTCTGAGGCACCTCACCACCACATGCCCTTAGTCTGAAGCAGCCTTGTATGTGCCTGCTGTGGATCAGCTCCCTGAAACCAACAGCCTCTGGCTATACAAGCACTGCCCTCCAGAATCCCTCAGGCCTTGTTCTCTCTGCACAAGTAGTGACGGACACACATCAACCCTCAAGTCCTCAGAGCGTTCCCTGCAGTGTCCAGTCCCTGATCCACTGAACACTCACAGAATTACCGGGCCTGCCGTTCCCAAAGAAACACTACACACCAGTTTGTAAGATTCAACTCAGGATCATTCCTTTACTTCTCACCACAGCACTTAGATATGTTTATAGTGAAAACACGAATACATTTATTATCAAAGACTAGAGATTCAAGTAATAGTGAGCAAGAATATTGGAATCAAATGGTTACATATAAAGCAAAATAACGCTCTTTCTATAGACTAACTAAACTTAACTAACAGGTTGACCTGCTGATAAAGAAACTTATCTCACCCAAAGTTCTCTCCAGTGTTTTCAGCCCAGCCTGGCTGAGATCCCACCTTCCTGAAGCAAATCTGCTGTCCATTTGCTTCCTAGCTGAGGGATGCCCAGGTGTCTTCTTTGCCCCCCAAATATAGTAGAACAAACCGTTGAGGTCCACCTCAAGATAAGGTTCTCCCTCCCTGCTGTAAGAGTTTGTATCAGTGTACAGTGTTAACTTTATATTCAAGTGCTAAAGGGTTAGACTTTGTTTTCCAACTCTCCCTTCTCCCTCTCCACATCATGTTGAGCAGTGCCTTCCTCCATGGTAGTCCTACTCACTTCAGCAGGATTACTTATGAAGTAAACACAACTCTCTTTGAGTACAGGTGTACTTTAAATGAATCATTAAACAAAATTTTGTATTAATATGCCTAATAAGGAATCTATTCATCAAAAAACATTTCCTGAATATATTTTTGTCTGTATTGTTACAGACATACTTGCTGACAGATATTTTGAAATTAATTTCCAAAATAATTGAAACTGGCATGATTATTTTGTGTTATTTTCACAAATAAAAAAGAAGAATTTTGTGGAATTTTAAAATATTGTGCACAGAGTTTTTAATTTTTTGGCACAGAATTCCTCCAGAAGTAGTAAAGGTGGCAGAAGGGCAATAACAATAACTGTGAAAACAATGAGCCTGATTATTCACCTGTTACATTGCTACAACTCTGGGCCAGGTTCTCCAATGCAAGAGTTTGGGCAATGCTTGTTTTGATACCCATTCAGTTCAGGATGATTAATAAAATTCATAGTTCTTTATTTCACTACTAGTTATCTAAGCTTTGGTTCAAGGAGATTCCTAGTGATTTGCGACTTAACAGAGGTGCCCTTCCTCAGGTGCTGAGAAAGTGGGAGATTCTTTAAGTAGGAACCAGAAGCAACTTTGCGGGGGAGGGAAACAGCAGACAAGATCGGACTGTAGTGCTAGTGTTACAGTCCTGCTATGAGTATAGTGTGCATTTTCACCCATTACTATGGAGTCACTATCTAGATACAGTGCAAGGAAAAGAGAAAATGAAGAGAATAACATTTCTGTTGTATTTTCTGTACTATAATTCTGTGACCCAGGATCTTGCGAGTTAATTAGAGATTTTCCTTTAAGGAGAAGAGACTCTACCATAGAAGAGAATGCATTTGGTTTTTTGGTGTCTGATAAAGAAGAGGAAAGGGTGATCAGCCACAAACTGTACAGGTATTCTTAGTATGCTTGTACTTATGCCAGTTCCAGTTGCAGCTGCTGCCACAGTGCCCTCTTCATTGACCTCTATATAAGCCTTATGGGTAGCCTGACTCACAAACAGGTCACCTTCTTTTGCCATTCCAGATAAATCTGATACTCCTGGGTGAAATACATCGGTCATTCCTAAAGCCTCTAAATATTTTTTAAGTTGAGCACTTGTCTCAACTTTGAACCGAGGAAGAGCCACATCCACTTCAACTTCTTTCAAATGGTCAGGGCTAATCCAAGTTGTTAATTTCTCATAGGTAAGTTCCTTTTCCAGCTGCAGGTATAAAGATACATGGGAATCAGAATCTTGTGGTTATGCATCAAAATCAACAAGACACGCAACTATGTGAGAAATTGGAAAAAATATTTTTTCATTCACACTGTGATAACCACATCAGGCATGATTCTTACAGTACTACTGGGATCAGTAGCATGATGTACACTAAGAGTATGTCTACAAAGGAATAAAACCCCACAGCTGGCCCGTGTCAGCTGACTTGGGCTGTATGGCTGAAAAATTGCTGTGTGGACATTTGGACACAGGCTGGAGCCCAACCTCTGGGACCCTCCACCATCACAGGATCCGAGAGCTCGGGCTGCAGCCTAAGCCTGAACGTGTACACCGCAATTTTTAGCCCCTCAGCTGCAGGGCTTTTATCTCCATGTAGCCGTACCCTAAAGATTTCCAAATAAGTGTTTGTCCAGTGTTGGTTATAGAATCTTGTTTTCTTTTTTTTAATGTAAATATAATGACCACAATGGTGGGTCACCAGTGGGAGTCAACGGTAGAACTTCTAACTTCAGTGCTCAGACCTCTACCATTAAAGCTAAAGGACTTGATGCTGCACCAGTGAAGTCAGTGGGTGTTTTGCAACCGAATTGTATGGGAGAAGGGTTAGGGAGCTGGATCAGATGTTAAGTCTGGCAGCAATATGTGGCAGACAGCCTCTGTGGATCTGCCGATGTGTTACCTATATTCTTTGCGTTTATTATTTATTCATTTTTAGACTAGTCTGTGTGGGTATTAACTGTTTAGAAAGGTTGATAATACAAAAATGTAGCAATTAGCTATTAATTACATTGTCACCGTGCCCTATTTGGAGAATAAAATGGCTGGCTAATTGTTTGTTTTCTGAAAATTCAATAGACCTAGGAACAACATAAGCAGCCTGCCTTCAGATTTACTATTCAACATGCTGCATACTCTGCAACAAAGAAGAGGAAAGTAATTTTGTCCTATACTATCTGTCCATGTTCATATTCTGGTTATAAGATTACTATCTCATCATAGGTAACTTTACCTGTGTTAGACCCATGTTGTCTTTTGGCAGCAGTATATACATACTCAGGTCACCACCCTTGTATGGGAGTTCAAGCACCTGACTCTGATGCTCCTCTATTGTAGCTATTTTGTACCTGCTCTCCTGGTACATCATCTGCACAGGTTTGCTTGTAGTCTGAAAGCAGTGACAAGTAGTAACAAGTGAGAGACATACAATATATTCTCCAGCATTAAAACATTTTTCCTTGTATTGCATCTTCACTTGGACCCAAATGCTGCAGTAGTTGTTCATGGCCAGATAATCACCTTCCGAAGAAAGGTATAAAGTTCTCTTGAACCTCTTCGAACATCTCACAACAGTTTCATCTCTATCTTGGACTCAAGGGAAAGGGGTCAGTGAAGTACTGGGGGAGGGGAGACTGGGAAACCCCATAAAGCCCATTCCCATGATCCAGAATTCCACCATGCTGCTTTTCCACTGCCCCTTTAAAGCTAAGGTACCATTTATTATCTCCCTGTGCCGGCACACCCACCTCCCAAAGAATAGAAGGTTTAGAAGAAGAGGTAATGCTATTTCTTTGGACCAACACTTTCAGAAGTTGCTGTTGATATTGTGTGCCTCACCGTTTGGTTGTCCAACTTGAGAACCATGCTAAGGATATTAAAACTACAGGCTTTTCATCTTTTCTTTAATTTATATTTCCATTTAAAAGCATGATCTTAGGTCAAATTGACCCAGAAATTTACAAAACCTAAGAGCAATAGACATTTACAAAACAATTTCATGGAAACAGGTTCCACTAGGAACAATTTTCCTTTAGCTAAACAAATGTTTCCCTGTTTTGTTGCCAACCTATTTTTGCTACATTATGCTAATGTGTGACCAACAGAAGGTGAAACTGAACTGAAGCAATACGAAGCTGGCTACTCTACATTCATTGCCCACACAACATGGGGAGGGCGGGGGATTAGCACAGGGACAATGTACCTAAATGTCACCGAAAAAAACCCACTTTCAGTATTCAACCTTAATGAGGAGGGAGATCAATCTGGTGACAGAATGTGGAAACTGAACACAGACTAAATGGATCTCTTGGGGGCAGTCATTGTAAATGTGGCAGCAGAACAACTCATTGTAGGTCTGAATACAAGCAATCCAGTTAAGGGTCTATGAAGAAAATGATTAGAGGCCAGACTGTGGACTGCTCCAAATTAGGAGTGTAGTGGGGGAAGGTACAAGAAGCATCCTTATGCTAGGCCTCTGCTCAGGGGCCAGCCGGTCTTTGCTCACATGAGTGCAAAAGGGTAGCAAACCTAACTGCACACGCAACTCCAAAGGGGAAGGGGAGAAAGCGGGGCTTTGCCCTGAGCACTTCCACTCCTGATAGAAGAGCTGACAGACCACAAAGAACGGCAGATGCTTCAGCTTCTTATACACTGGCTTCCCCTGTGCCCCAGGTGGCTTTGTGAGGCATTGTACCTATGTCAGGCATGATGCACTCTCCTAGCAGAAGCTTTGGGAAACAGCTCCCTCTTCACCCCCAGAGCTGGTCCCTAGGCCATAAAGGAGCCCTAGATTCAAGAGGCCATATCCCATGTTAGCTCCCCATTGTCTGCCAACCATGTAAAACAATAGGAGCAATGAAGTGATATGTATATTTCTGTAATTTACCTTGTTAATCTGAAAAGGTCTTTCTTTGGTGTTTTCTTTCTTAAATTCCTTTCCCCATTGCCCCTTGAAGTAGACTGCATTCACGAGGACTAATTTAGTATCTCCAGAAAGAGCCTGTGGGCCAAAGAAGTCCTTGATTTTACCTTAAAAATATGGAAGCAAATTATTTTGTTTTGGCAGTTCAATAACTCTAGTTCCATTTATCCATTGTAATAACATAGATGTACAGTGCATATATGTAACTGTGTATAAGAATATAAACATGATACTAGACACACATGAAAGATGTTAGACTGACAGGCCTAAGAGCCTGAAGTCCTCTATCTATTCACAGAACAAGTACAACACAAGCAGCATCTTTGTAGCTTCCCCACACTGACACACTGATGTTCCTCAAGTGAACAACGGAGAACAGATGTCATCTCCCAAAATGGCCATTTTGTTCTTTTTCTGCTGACTAGTCTTGGATCCAGGTCAAATTTTAAGTAGGGCACTGTCATTTACCTTATCTGTAGAGGAGCTCATAAATCAAGGTACTTTTTGAAGGTCCCCTCTCCTTGCCCAATACCTCTTGCATCGGATTGGATAATTCCTTAAACTCAATGCAATCAGACTCACAGGTGGTCTCATCCAGCACCCACTGAAGTTGTCAGAAGAATTCCTGTTGATTTCAATGGGTGTTGTACTAGGTCCAGAGTCTGCTGGCTACTCTGTTCTCCTCAAATATGTTTTCTCTGTGGGAATTAATGATCCATCTTCAGGTCACTCAGGTGGTCAAATTGCTGAGAGCTGCTACTGCAGCTCCATACTGGGCGTGCTCCAATTATGACAAAATAGTGTTCTCCTGCAGGTTTTTAAGCACCTTGTACACTTTACCTCATTTTTTAAATTAAATATCAAGAAATAGCAGCCAATGCCTGACTTGTCCTTACCCTTGGTAAAGGTTTCAATCCACAAATTTATCTGCTTTCTGGTTTCCTCTGCAGCATTCTGAAAATCAACTGGTTTCAATTCAGCCTGGTATAACTTTTGTATGCAGGATAGGTATTGCTGTACAATAAGAGAGAATGTCAGAACAATACATCAGAAAACAGGTCTCTTTTTAGGATGTCTCCCGAATAAAATAAAATATCCCTGCTTTTTAGTTCTGCAACACTGCAAGAAATATACAAAATATTCAAAAGTGTGTTTGTACATGCTCAAGATGAGACATTGTGAGGACTAGCAGAATGAACTGGACCAGTTGGGTAGAGTGTAGGGATACAGGGCCACATAGGTTTGGACAGTTTACATAAAACAGTCAAACACTGAACCTCTTTGAAGTTCTGCCAGCTGATTGACTCTGCCACAGACCCATTGTATGACCTTGAGAAAGTCATATAATCTTTGTGTCTCAGTTCCCCATCTGTGAAATAAGGATAATGATAATGCTTTTCTCCTACCTCTGTGTCTGTTCTCTCTATTTATATTGTAAGTTTTGGGGCAGGGACTGTCTTTTACTACGTTTCTATAGAATTATAGCACAAGAGGGCCCTGATCCTGGTTCTACTACTGTACAAATAATAATGACTACTCATCAGATTTAAGGAGTTTTGCTGTGGTGAGGCTAGTATTTGCTTTTGCATGTGATCTTGTTATGTAAGGCTGATTTACTCTCTGGTTTTTAGATGCAATAAACACATATATCCCCCTGGCAACCTAGCTACTTTAGCAGGCATTTACAGAACATCAGGTTCTGGTTACACAATGGAAGGTGAACCTAGGTCGCTCTTGAATAACCAGAATGTCTGGTTGTCACAGGTCCTCTGGTGGTCCTTAAATGGCTGCTTATGCTCTAAAGGACTGGGGGACCATTTTCACATAGGCCACTTTCTTCTCCCATTCAGTGGAAAGATTTGATAGATGCTGCTTCCTCTTGCAGCAACCAATCCTTAGGTCTCTCAAGTTTACTTTCCATCCTGGGTGGACTGCAGAACAGGAGAAACTGGTGGAATTAGGACCCACTACAGGTCTTTCTGTTAGTTCTACAGGTAGAACCCTGAATTTATCCTGGAACTAGAAACCTATATATATTGTCTCGCCACTTCTATCCCAGTCTAACCTAGTGTGTCCGTGACTGTATATTTATATGTAATTCACGAATGTTTTGAAGCACTGTCCTGTAATGTTTCTTTTTCCCACCAGCCAAAATAACTAAGGATGATTGCAATGATACTTGCACATGAAATTTCAAACTAGAAGCAAATTTTGAAAGCTGATTTGAGAAAAGTTTTTGTGCCTATGAAATTTCACACAAATGAAATGGTGAGGCCTTGTAAATAATGTGAAATGAATTGGTAAAAAATGTAGCATGAAACCCCAGAACATAGTTAGCAATTTTATTGAATTTGCATGAGCCAGAATAATTCTAGCTCACTTTCCCATATGGATTTATTTTAAGATGATTGGCTGTTCTGCCCTACTATTCAGTACCTCCAGGGGATCAACTCCACCCTTGTTTAAGTGGACACAACTCCCATCCAAGTCAGCAAGAAATGGGACCTCAACTGAACTAAGCCCATGTTGTCCATCTCTGTCTTACAATGTCACAGGCCATTAATCTGAACCCCAGTGCAACTCACCTGAAGAAAATTGAATGTCTTTTCTCCATACAGTCTGTTGGCATTAGCCAGCTCGTAGAAAGTGGTAGGTTTGTTGATTGCTGAGAAGATGTCATGAAACTGGGAATGAATCCCTCCGGGTATATCACACTGATCATCAGGAACCTTCAAATAACACAAAGTTGCTGTAGTTTGTTTCTGACTGAAAAAGGCTGAGAGTAACAGAGGCACTGTTGTTTTTTTTTTAAATAATTGTTCTCCTATGAAACAATTCGGATTCAATAACTTAACTACCTTTGCCTTCTCTGACTTGTTCTTGTTCCTGATAGTCTGGAGATCTATGGAGCAAAAGCTCTATTATAAGGACTAAGGAATCCGTGGCTCTTTTGGGATGTTCCACTTGTTACTTATGGAGCACTACACATGCGTATTTGTTGAACAATGAAAAATGTTCAGGGTAGTACAGTTGCAAATGCTTTCTGTATGTCAGATTTAAACATGCACATGTGCTCATGATCCTGGTAGGAGCCCACTGAAATAGCAAGAAACTGATGACTTGTGAATGCAGTTGCAATTATGGCATCTACAAATCAAGCATATAATTGTACAGCATTTTCAATAAAACAAATCCTAAACCTTACTCTTTGCTATCTTGTATACATTTTTATCCTTGTCCCTACTGTCACCTACCATCATAGCATTTCCCCCCCTATTTTTATGTTATAAATCTAATCTGCCAATTTTGAGTTTAGGTTCAAATTCTCCAAAGTTTGTCCAACTTCAACATTTGTTCTAAGATACCGGCAGATGGGGATGAAGAGGTAGTCTGCAACTGCTCTCTGAATTCTCATCACTTGTTGCTTCCGAAGACCTTCCTGTTCCTGGATTTTCATTTTCTCTAAGTTCAGCGAAGCGAAGAACCTGAGGTGGAAATGTAAGATTGCAACAATCATACACTATATTGATTTACTTATGACAATATATAAAACTGCACTTGTCACGAGAAAATTCAGTTGTCTGTCTTACCTACTGTCCTTTCTACTGGAGATGGACATCATGATGTCAAAGGCAGGTATTCTCAACTTTTGTCACTGGATGCCCCAGTGCATCCATTGACATCAAAATCAGCAACCATTTGGTGAATACTACTTAAAATCACCAGAAAGGTGAGCTATATTTCTATGATTGTAGAACTCACTTCCTGTTTCTGCCCATAATATTCAGTTTTAACACCTTTTTATACTATGTTGCAATAGGGCAATAAATTCAGTAGTGTTCTGCAGGCATGCAGTGATCTGCAATAGTGGATCCTATCACAGGATTAGGACTTGGATAAAAGCTTATTATTTACAAAACCTAAATTTAAGGAACAATCTCAAAACCAGTGGAAATGCTTTCAGAGTTTGCTAGGTTTAATTCCAACAAATGCAGTGTTTGTCAAATGCAGAGTTAGCTCCCACCCATATTTAAGTGGACAGGAGTTTTGCCGATGACTTCTGTGGCAATAGAACTGGAACCTGTTTTTTGTTTTTTGTTTTTTAAATTTCATTCCTCTCATGTGCATATCCCTTTACAGTTGCTAACTGTATTGGGTCCCATGTCTAACCTTCACAGCAAAATATCTATCTGGAAGTTCTAATAATGACAGTTGTATTCAAAGACTAATAACACATGATTCTTGATTAGTACTAACTCCTGAGCAACCCAAGCCTGAGAAATTCAAACCCATTTCCAGTGACAAATGTGACTCATACAGGTTCATGGGATCCAAAAATAGGTTAACACTTTTGCCAAACTAGATATTCAAATAATATTTTTATAACTACGACCAAACTTGTAACACTTCAGCATTAGTAAATCTGATGCTCAGCACGTTCATAGTAAGCAACTAAAAAGGACCCAGCATCTGAGAGACACACATTTCTGAAATAACCATGTAGGCTACATCTCTCTCTTTTGATATAATGCACAAGACAGAAATGTCAGCAGGCGGTATGAATAAAATGAAGATGAGGGGCTGGAAATTGCAAATATTGAGGAAATGTTTCTCTGTATCTGAGATGACCTCTTCTGCTGGGGCTGAGCTATTGGCCAAGAGGTTCAAACATCCCTCTAGGCCAGGGGTTGGCAACGTTTGGCACACAGCTCGCCAGGGTAAGCACCCTGGCAGGCTGGGCCAGTTTATTTACCTGCTGACGTGGCAGGTTCAGCCGATCGTGGCCCCCACTGGCCGCGGTTTGCTGTTCTGGGCCAATGGGGGCGGTGGGAAGCCGCAGCCAGCACATCCCTCGCCCGCGCCGCTTCTCGCCGCCCCTATTGGCCCGGGACGGTGATCTGGGCCAGTGGGGGCCGCGATCGGCCGAACCTGCCGTGTCAGCAGGTAAATAAACTGGCCCGGCCCACCAGGGTGCTTACCCTGGTGAGCCACGTGCCAAACGTTGCTGACCCCTGCTCTAGGCCAAAATAGACCAACCTCAGCAGAGGGTAAGTGAAGCAGCAACATAGGCCAGTGGTTCTCAAACTTTTGTACTGGTGACCCCTTTCACATAGCAAGCCTCTGAGTGCGACCCCCCGTTATACATTAAAAACACTTTTTAATATATTTAACACCATTATAAATGCTGGATGCAAAGTGGGGTTTGGAGTGCAGGCTGACAGCTCACAACCCCCCATAATAACCTCGCGACCCCCTGAGGGGTCCCGACCCCCAGTTTGAGAACCCCTGACATAGGCCATCGTCTCACAAACAATAACACACTCAAGTACCATTATGCACTACTCATGTATGTAATGACACACATGTATGGAATGGTTGCAAGATCAGGGCTTGAGGCGGGAAATCTCTTGTTCTTGGGCTGAATATGTTATTTCCAGTTCACAATTATGTTCTCAGCCTGCAGCTTCTGCCAGGCACCTTTTCAACCCCATAAAGTTCAATTCCATTCAATATAGAATTGCCTTTCAGACCGTAACTAGGGCAATTGCTGCTTGTGCAGGCTTTATTACCCCTGGAAAAGGAAACTGCTCTGAATTAGCAGAAAAGAAAAGGTTTGAGGAGCTCAGGTGACATTGCACGAGGGAATGGTCTGCCATTGTTGAACAAAAATGAAGGTATAAAACAACTGACTTATTGACACCTACCTTTTGTATCTGGGTGGCAGTATTACCTCTGGCCCCAAGAAGGACCATGCCCAGGGCAGCTGAGATACTCAGAGGAGAATAGATGATATTGTCAGATGGACTATCTTTGTTCAATACTTTGAAAAAGTCAAGGGCAAATTTAGTAGTTGCTTCACTGATGGAGCTCATTGTGAAAATGAAAACTGCAGAGGAAAAACATAAACCAAATCAACAGAAAGAACAGGAGTACTTGTGGCACCTTAGAGACTAACAAATTTATTTGAGCATAAGCTTTCGTGGGCTACAGCCCACTTAATCGGATGCATGCAGTGGAAAATACAGGAGGAAGATATATATATATACACAGAGAACATGAAACAATGGGTGTTACCATATGCACTATAACGAGAGTGATTAGTTAAGGTGAGCTATTATCAGCAGGAGAGAGAAAAAAAATGTTTATCGTGGTAATGAAAATGGCCCATTTCCAGCAGTTGACAAGAAGATGTGAGGAACTGTGGCGGGGGGCAGGGAGGGGGAGGAAATAAGCATGGGGAAATAGTTTGACTTTGTGTAATGGCCCATCCACTCCCAGTCTTTATTGAGGCCTAATTTAATGGTGTCCAATTTGCAAATTAATTCCAATTCAGCAGTCTCCCGTTGGAGTCTGTTTTTGAAATTTTTTTGTTGTAATTTTGCAACTTTTAGGTCTCACTAATCGAGTGGCCAGGGAGATTGAACTGTTCTCCAACTGGTTTTTGAATGTTATAATTCTTGACATCTGATTTGTGTCCATTTATTCTTTTACGTAGAGACCGTCCGGTTTGGCCAATGTACATGGCCAAATCAACAGAGTTCAACAGTCTCTTTTCTCAACCTCTTACTACATCAGAAGGTTTCAGTGGCTTTCTTGCTAGTTATACACACATGTCTGGCCTCAGGGTTGAAATGGGCATAAGTTTTGGGAAGATTGTGATACAGACATTTTAAAAAAGAATTCCCACTAAGGAAACTGCCTCATCTCCAATTCTCCACTCAGGAAATTGAGACTATCCTTTTTCTTCCACTTCTGTGGCTAATGTACAACGCTACAATGAGTAAAATCTTCTACCAACACAGTTTCTTAGAGCAATGAAACACACTGATGCATCTCCCCATCTGACTTCAGGGGAGTTACTCATGATTTACAGCAGTATGAGTTCAAAATCAGGCTTCCTGAGAGGGATTCTTGGATGCTCCAATTTCTGTTTGTATGTGATCAGGGCCACATTAGGCTCTCTTTTGCACCCATATATAGCTAGAGCAACTTTGGAGGAGTTAATCCAGATATACACAGGTGTAAATGAGAGCCTAATTTGACCCCTGGTGTCTAGGTAACAACAACAGACAATGGGTAGAGAATGATCTGATTAATATGTGCTAAGGTATTAATGAATCAGCTTATTCTATTATAAAATAAATATACACTGTGTAAGATGTGTGAACATCTATTTATTTCAATACATTTTCCAACTGCGGTTGACTGATAGGAACATAATACTCTAATCTGTCTCCATTAACTCTGAAAAGAGATACCCTTGGTTTCTTCCCAGGGAGGTATTCCAAGACTTTCACAAATAGATAAAAAGACCTGTGTGAAGTTTTTCTGACACATAGTTTATCTGCTAAAAAAATGTAATCTTGGTCAATCTGAAACTATTCACAAATTTGACACAAATTTACCAAAGAGTTTGGGCCAAAAAAACATTTCAGGTTAGATTTGTTAAGTGGCTGGTGCTGTGCTCCTTGTCCCTCCCCCACTCATCTTTAGCCCAGTATATAGATGGTGGTGATGTCCCATTTAACTTCTGCCCAAAGGTTAGGGCATACACCTGGGATGTAGGAGACTGAGGTTCAGTTACCCCCTCTGCCTGATTTGGAACAGTGAGTTGAATTTGAATCTCTCACTGCTCAGGAGAATGCTGTGAGGCCTAGGCTATCAGGTAGTCTGCAGTGAGTCTCTCCCACTGAAGCTTTTCCACTTAATATAAATTAGTAATTGGATGTGGGTCTCCCTCATCTTAGGTGAGATTCTTCACTATGCAAGTGGGTGATCTAGTGGCTTTCCCCTTCCAAATTCTAATCCACTGTTGTCTCTCTGAAATTGTGTTATACAACATCACCTTTCATTTTGTAAGCAAGTCGTGAGAAATAATTTTTCCACTCTACTCAGCACTGATAAGGCCCCAACAGTTCTGGGCACCACAATTGGGAAAGATGTGAACAAATTGGAGAAAGTCCAGAGAAGATCAAAACAAAAATATTAAAAGTCTAGAAAACATGGCTTATGAGGAAAGATTGAAAAAGTTGGGTTGTTTAGTCTGGAGAAGAGAAGACTGACGGGGGGTATGATCACAGTCTTCAAGTACGTAAAAGGTTATTATAACAAGAAAAGTGATAAATTGTTCTTAGCCACTGAGGACAGGACAAGAAGTAATGGATTTAAATCACAGCAAGGGATATTTAGATCTGACATTAGGAAAAATTTCCTAATTGCAAGGGAGACAAGATGGGTGAGGTATCCTCTATTATTGGACCAACTTCTGTTGGTGAGCGAGACAGGCTTTTAAGACACACAGAGCTCTTCTTCACGTCTGGGAAAGGTTCTCCCAGGGTCATAGCAAAATGCAAGGAGGAACAGATCATGAACTGACCACCCATCACTGGAAGGTTTTAAGAACAGGTTAGACAAACACCTGTGAGGGATGGTCTAGGTAATACTTAGTCCTGCCTCAGGGCAGGAGACTGGACTAGATGACCTGTTCAGATCCCTTCCAGTCCTCCATTCCTATGATTCTGTGATTTTCTTACTTAAATATTTCATTTCCAACTCAGACTCTCTTCAAAAATATGCACAGATTTACTGACATCTGAGGCTGAGAAGAGAAGTTTGTGTGTTATTGTTAATGCAAAATGCTTTGTTATGGAAAAAGGAAGAAAATTACTGAGAATTTCTTTTCCTAATCATCAACAGCTGGCAAATTACACATTTCACAAGAGTTGATGATTATCTGTAGCAATGTCATAGGCTTTGGAAAGTGGTGACATCTGCAACATTTTATGTAAATTCTGCAAGCCAAATTTTGCTCTTACACTGATATAAATGCATTGTAATTTACCTTAAACCAACAGGATCTGTGGGGTCAGGCCTTCTGAAAAGCAGGTTGTTTCTTTAGGTTTCAGAGTAGCAGCCGTGTTAGTCTGTATCCGCAAAAAGAAGAACAGGAGTACTTGTGGCACCTTAGAGACTAACAAATTTATTAGAGCATAAGCTTTCGTGGACTACAGCCCACTTCTTCGGATGCATCCAAAGAAGTGGGCTGTAGTCCACG